CGTTTCTGACTTCTTAATAACCAAATTTTAGTTTCTATTACTAGGGTCATGTTAAAGGGGAAGGGGTAATGGGTCGCCAAATAAAATATGAACACATTTTTTTTTTGGTTAAGATATATTTTATCTAAAAATATATCAAATAGGTTACAGTTAGCAAGGTCTCTTTTTTACTTATAAAAATAAGCGCAAAAAATTCACTTTTAAATTAATTTACTACTTGCTACAGGCATTTTTCATTTCAGAGCGGACGGAGTGCACATACACAAGCTGTACCCATCCACCCTACATACCCACTCTATATACTAAAATGCTTGTAACTCAATAAGTAATAATCCTAAAGTTGTTATCCAATCCAACAACATTTTTTGTAAAGGCTAAAATAGCTATTTTGAAATTTTGAAAAAAATTAAGAAATACAATTTATTATCCTGGTTAGATAGAAAAACTTAAAATTGTCTTTCACAATATTAAATATTTCTGAATTTCTGTACTTGGCTCAATACAAACAATAAATAACTTCTATGATTTTCAAGCATAGAAGGAAAATCATTCTATTTAAAGTATCTACTTATTTCAGTCTAGAGACTTTTATTAAAAACTTATCCATGACAAATTATATAAATCGTAAAATAAAAATATTATTGAAGTCTAACATAAACACACAAGAAAAATAAAAATATGATAGCTGATAACAGAGAATGATTATGCACTGGCCCTAAATAATTATATAATTTTATAATACATAACAGTAACAATAGGAAAGACATGACTATAAATAGCTCTCTATGAAAGACGAGATAGCTTTTTGTTATCCAGTCAACAAGCTTACGTATATTTAATCAGAGTCAATATGCTTATCTTCATTTAGTGGTTCTCAGTCAATAACAACTTTTTTTGAATTGACTGATCAATAAAACACAACGAATTATTTACTAATTATATAATATTTTGCGTACATAATCAAGAAATAGTTAGCAAAAATTTATCATTGAACACATTGAAATTTGAAGATCAACAAAATTATATTTTTGCGACTCCATAATTACAGCCCTGTTTATAATCATATTATGTGTTAATTATATTTCATCAAGTTCATAAAAGAAATGGCGTATTAATAAAGGCTAACGGTTAAAACTCACTTCATTGGTGGCAAAAAATTATTATTTTGATAATAGCAAGCCTTTTGAAAAATCCTATGAACGCTACTATAATATTATAATGTAGTGTAAAAGAAAATGTTGGGTTTTGTAGTGCGAGTTGAAAATTATTATTTGATTTATCTTTTGATTGTGTACTTAAATTTTTATAACGTTTAAAAGATGAACTGTACATATATGTTATTTAATAATAATATTTCAATTTTGCTAAGAAAAATCAAAAACGTCATATTTTATAGTTTTTAAAGTTGTGTAACGTATATGTAACGTAACACAAAGTGTGTGTTGTTTCGAAATGTAAAATTTAAAGTTATGCACGTCATACATTTTAGAAAGATAAAATTTAATCTTTTCGTGGGAGCCCCTAAGATGTTTTCACCAACATAATGATAATAATTGTACAACATTTTTTGCTTATCAACCAAATTTTCATTGTATAATTACGTTTTTTTTTAAGTGTAATCAATTGGCTATACTTACGAAATACTATAACATATTTTAATCAAGTATATTTATAGCATAGGTTGGTCTATCTCTTAAGTGTCTTGTTGATTCCCTTTTTAGACGAAATAGAATCTTATTTTCAAAAATTACAGCAATTTATATCTAAAATATTTTATTATTAAATTTAATTTCAGTAAAATACCTACTTAATTTGTTTGCAATGTTTAGTACGAAATACGCTCGAGTTTTTCAAGTATAAAGATTTAAGCGTGCATTTAGAATATTCTCTAAAGTGTAATAAAACTGATGTCATGCGAAAATGTTCATGAGTCGATTGAAAAAACTAATGATGGAAAATATCGAATAGTAACTATCGAACTATTCGATAGTTATGTAATCTATTCGAATAGTTAATTTATTTTCCATTTGATAGTTTTAATTAAATATTTTCATATGTTATACTGTATATATACAGAGTGATTGATGTATCGTTAACCAATAAATTTCTCCTAAAATAATAATAATTTCTCAATTTTTAAACTGTTTTATATATTTTAGGTATATTTCTTATAAGGGTACGAATTTTATTTTTTTTAATGACAAATTTTAATTATATATTTAACTAGTTTATACAATAGATGTATAACTTTAATATTTTGGAAGTTATAAACATTTTTAAATGTTGACAAGAGGTGAAGTTTGGCTTTTTATTTTTATCATTACTCATTACTTCTCTGCTGTAATACTCCTCTTAACCAAACAAAAATATTCATAATTTCTGAAATATTGATCAAAAAGTTGTTAAGGACCATAATTTTCTTTTTTATATCATTATTTAATAAATAATCTAATTAATTATGTATATTGACATTTGAACAAATAACGTTGTTGATATCTTTATAAGGCATAAAGAATTAACATAAATAATACATCATGATTGATAAATTGAAAAAACGTAGTCTAAAAGAAACATAAAAAAAAAGATAGATATTATTTTTATTTTATAGAAAAATTTGTTGATTCATTAAATTCTGATGACTGCGTTATACAGAGTGTTTAGTAAGTAAAGAATCAAGTCAATTGTAACAAATAATGAGAGTAATAGAAACCCGTTTCCTTATATAATATTTTTAATTACATTGAAACATTAAATAACATATACTATAGTATAACTAACAAATATTAAGTATTTTACTATTTCCAAGAAATACTATTATTAAATTATTAAATATTTCAATAAAAGATGTACTAATGAGGTAATTGAGTATTTAATTTGAAAATAAATTATGATAACTGACAAAAAGTCGTAAGACTTTTTTAGTGATAACAACAAAAATAGTTCATATGATTAGTATAAAAGGCAATGGGAAAACACTATACTTCAAATTTCCTCATGATACACCAATTCAATCATCATAATTGACAGATTGTTGTTAATCAACTTAATAACTGAAAAAAAAATATATTTAAATAGGGTAGTATTTATTGTTTTCGCTATTACAACATAATTTTTACCAATAGATAGCATGAAAGTCAATTAATTTAGAAAAGCAAATAAGATCATATGTTTGTACATTTGGGCGGGAATCTCACACGAATGAAACATCATAAAACTGATAAAATACTGTCTGTATCGCAAGAAATTTTTTTTGGTTTGTTATCTTATATAAAAATTGAAATAATATCGTTTAGGTGAATTTCATTATTTTAGTATTGATTACTATTGAAATAACGTCGTGTAACAAATATGATACTTATTACCACAAGCACATTTATTTGATTTATTAAAAAACAATTATTGATTTGATTAATGCGTTTATCGGGAACTATTTTTTTATATAAAACTATCACATAGTGTTCTATTTTCTTATTTCTCTTCATCTGTTCAAAATTTATTTTTAACTCCTACAACTCATTGCATCATCTGTATGCGGATACTAATCTTTTACAACCAACAGTCTTCAGATTCAATAAGTATTTTTACAAATTGTACAGTAGTTTTTTAATTTTTACTATTACTGAATGTAAAAATTAGTTACAAAAAAAAGACAGAAAACAAATTACAGGATCGTGACACAGAAAATGTATTATTATTAGAAATCCCTTCTGAATCTGAAGATGAACATGAAATTGCCTATTTAGATGTATTAGATTATAATATGAAAATACTTAAGGACATAAATTATCCATTGCCAGATGATAATTTACCAGCAAATGATGTAAATGTAGCTCTTCCTTTTATGTATACTAATTCTAGTTACTCCACTCCTCAAGATAATTTACCTATTATTATTGTATGCCACATGTTAATAAAATTGATACTCAAACGTCAAGTCACATGTCATACTCATATACCTCTAATACAAACAATTCTGTATATTTTAGTTCAAAAAACCATCAAAACCAAAATGAATAAAATTTTGTCCTAAAAATGATAAGATAATACCCTTACTAGAGAAAGGACGAAACTTCTTCGATGAGTTCCAAATATGTAGAAAAAATATAACAAGGAGAATAAGAATATTAAGTCTTGCCGCTAAATATGATAAAATAAAGCATTGACCCGAATGAAAATATAAAAGACAGAGATAAGATGGTCTAGAATGTAAAGGCTATACATTTATAAGTTGCACTATATGTCACGTCATTTTATGACAAAATAAAAATTGTTTTCTTTTAATAAAATTCAACTTGAAATCTAGAATATATGATTATAATTAACTATGAACTTATTAATTTATTTAATATAATAAATTATTAATTTATTATATTATTAATTAATTATGTAAAAAATAAAATAAAATAGAATATATTCTTTTATTTTAATACCATTATATTTTTTAATACGTTATAAAAGTTATTTTACATTTTATGTTTGTTTTTATTATTATTATTATTATTTTTTTTTTTTGTTTTTAAAGTTTAAAAATTATTTGTTTTTTGTGTAGATTCTTAGGTTCTTAAAAAAAAAAGATAGGTATTATATCGGTATATAGCATATATGTAGCAGATATGCAGCACCTATAATTATGCATATATTAATATTTAATAAACTGAAATATATTTTTGACAATTTTTCCCGTTCACTATTAGTCATAAACTAACTGAAAAATTAATTTCAAGTTAAAAAATTATTTCATACAAATAATTTGCATGATATTCGATAGTTTAAAATAATCAAAAAATCCAATCACTANTTTAAAATATTCAAAAAATCCCATCACTTGAAGAAACATGTAAGCTGAATGCTGCCAATAACCAGAAAAGAATACATCACACTTGTATCGACCAACTTATGTGACGTATCATTTGTAACATATCAAACGAAAAAATTCGTCGTAAACTCGTTGAACGCCGCCTACTGCGGTAACGCTACCGTTGTGTGTTGTTGAACTCGGGTGGTGGCGTGAACTTATCAGTCCGCTGACCGACCCCATTATCAGCGGCCGTTGTGGTGTTGTGTCTATTATACCAGTATTCAGTAGTGACTTAAATTATTCATTACTAGTATTGCGAATAAATCATTAATAATTGTTTAAATTTCGGAAGTACTGTGCGTCTGTCGGACAAAAAAAGCCTCTATCAGTTCAATACCATATCTTTGATCCGTATTAACTAACTTTTTCGACACACTTTATCTCTGATCTCTCTCGCACTGAGGTAACGAACAAATTGTTAAAAACTAAGCATATCCGTTGTCGTGTACAACTGCAGTAGCAGGCGCACGCAGAAAGATGCGACGCCGTTAAGACCCCAGTTCTCGGTGAGTACGCAGCTGCACACTTGTCTATTTAGTATAGGCGCTGCTGTTAGTTCTCATTTCTACACGTTTCTAAATTCATTGATTATTTGTTTTTTTCGTTACTGTGCCCCTCCGCCATGCCACTCATTATCTCAGTCTGAGCTTTTAACCTCGACACCTACTACTACTAATACTATTACTATTACTATTATACACGACCACAGTTCGCCATAAATTATCATAGATAAAACTTCTAAAGAGTAACTGGCAATTATATACCATTGAATAGATAAACGATGGTTTCAAACTGAAGAACAATGACATTTTGCTCTGCAGTATGTATGAGCTATAACTGGTATCACCATTGTACAGAATATTTTTATATAAAGTATTAACAATGTAAAAATTAACCTTTAACTATTTATTTTTCAAAAATTTATAATATGATGTCAGAGTCGATCAGTAAAGGGTTATGCGACAAATCCAAAATGCTTCGTAAACATCGTAAAAAAATGTTTAATAAAACAGGTGATTTATAAAGTAGTTCATACACTTTTGTAACTTGTTTGATTTTTCATTAAAAATTTAACTATGTGAAATATCTTACTAATTACTATACTAACCCGGGTTAATTTTCTGAATTTTTTTTTACAATACTTATTTAAAATTTGTTGATGGTAATTAGAATTTCTATTTTTATTATTTAATATCTCAATAATTTTTTTCTATCATTATTTAATAGTCGTTCAATGTTACTCTTTAAATTAATCCTATAGCCTAAAAATTCTAAACTATTAGATTTTATGTGCTATATTGTATTCAAAAATTTAACAATAAATTTAAAACATTAAAATGGGTTAGGAAAATATGTTTTTTTTAACTTAATAATTCAATATTTTAAGTTATCTTTGTCCAAAAATTAAATTATTTCTTTGAGAACATTTTTTTTAAATACATCAGAAAAATTATTATTTAGTATAAAATTCAATAATGGATATATTAATAGGAAATAATTTACTACTAACAATAATATTTAATTATTTAATTTAAGATTTTAAATTGTCTTCAGGTAAAATAAATATTTAACTATAAATACAGTCAATAATATTTAGTTATATTTTACTTTAAATAACATATTGCACTTGCTCACAAAACTTAGATTTGCTCAACTGTTAACTTAACAACTCAAAAAACTTATAATGCTTTTCTCTTTTCTAAAACTATTGTATACTAGTTGGTGTAAAATAGATGTTGAACATTTATAATTAATTTAATCATATTAGAATTAAATATATGTATACCCAAATTCCTTTTAAAAATGTTTAAAGAAATAATTACTTGTTTTATTTATTAATAACATTAATAGTTTAAATATTTCGATTTTACATATACCGACAAAGTATTTATTAGTAATAGGACTAATGATATTAGAATAAAAATTTTAAGTTATGATAATTTTTAATTACTTTTATGTAGCATTGAAAATGGTAGCATCTGAAATGACAACCAATCAAGAAAAAGATATTGACCAACTGCAGTATGTAGACATCAGTCCAGATTTTTTGACTACTGGAAGAACTGGAAGACGTAATGCTTTACCAGATATATTAGGTGAACACAAACTTACTTCTACTGCTGATTTACCTGATCGTCTCCAAGCATTAACTACAAATGGTAATTTTATGTTTTATATAATTTAAATTAAAAAAAGTGTAGTATAATTCTTATGATTTGTACAAAAATTGGTTTTATTTGCAAAATTTTAGTAAGTAGTATACTAAAACCTCATATGTAAGTAATGTAAATTTTTTCTTCAGCACAAGAATATGTTTTATGATTACTAATTGTACATTATATTTATGTTTAAGAAAGCACTAGCTCGAGTAGTATGCAACCAACCAAAACTACTGGAGATTCAGATCTGTCAAAGTCTCAAAACGCTGCATATTAACAAATTCTAAATAACTAAAATTATATATAAAAAAAAATAATTGACCATGGCCAGTTGTTTGATAAAAAATGATTGGATTAACTTTTTTTCCTCTTCATTTAAGTTTTGAAAAATTATAGTAATTAAGAATTTTTTTCCTAGTCTTTCAAGGTCAAACCAAAGTAAAATTTATGTACTTTATTTTTATTAAATTTCTGTTTTTATTTATTTGTAGGGTGTTTTGTTCCTGTTTTTAATTAATTATCTACTAGTTTTATTTATACATATGTAAAAAAAATGTTGGTGTTAAAAATTACATTTTTTAAAAATTTGATCATAAAGTAATTATTCTTAATGTGTCCTCCATTGCTTTAATTTAAATCCTAAGTTTTAAATTTTCTTTTTCTTGAAATAAGTTTTAAAAAATGAAATGTTAATATTTATTGACTTTTTTAATTTGTAGCATAGAATATACTACTTAATTTTTTCTTAGCTCTTCAAATAAGAAGTTTATAAATATTTATTATTCATTTTTTGAACAAAAAATATGGTACTTTAAAATAATAAATATATTAGAGAATCATGATTAAAATAAGACAATAAACCTATCAATAAAATACAAATACAAATTAGATTGTAAAATATATACGTACACAGTAATATTTACACGGTCAATTTTGTGATATTTTTACAAGTTCTTACCTGTATAATTGTCTTAATTTTATGTTTTTATAGTAATTTTGTTTGTGCTGTAATCTTTAAGGAAGATTTATTAAATACCTATTAATTAATAAATTTCACAAAACCTAAAATAAAGAAATCGAATATTTGTAGATATTACAATATGATGTCTGTATTGATTTCTGTTTCATTTGTTCCTTATTTTTGTAATAAGTAGTGTACTATGTTTTTAAAGAAAATTCATTAAAAATTAAATTTTATTTAGAAATATTATTATTTATTAATATTAATATAATATATTAGTAAGATATAATATTCACAGAAAAAATATAAGATTTAATTTATTATATAAAAGTCCATATTTTTCTAACAGAGTTAAGATTATAACTATGTAACTTTTCCCATATAAATATGAAAAATATATTTTAAACACTAATTATATTTATATCTTATTTCTATTATAAATTACAAGCTTTTAATTTTTAACATTCTTTAAAATAATGTTTTAAAATTGTTATAAAAAAATATTCAAATTAAACTGTCATTTTTTTTGGTATTGTATGAATTATAACTAGTTAGTAAAACAAAAAAATTTAATGTCCTAAAATTGTATTGTTTTCTTTTAAAATTGATGAGAAAATGATGTGTAATTAATTAGATTGATTTTTTCAATTGTTTTTTAAATTAGTATTTATTCAACTAATTAAAAGATTTTAATATAAATAATATTTAATAGACAATGTAAATAAGAATTTTTTTCTATTCACTTCTGCTTAAATACTACATGTTATACAAGTTAAAAATTATCTTTCATTGTTTTTTAAGATTTCTATTTATTTAAGGTGAACATTTTTTTATTATATATATATAATAAATAAAATTTAACTTATTTTGTTTCAATAAAATTGTCAAAATCTAGCAGTACTTATTTACTTTTCACTAAACAATGTTCACTTATTTAACCCATTATTTTTCTTTAAAGGTATAGTTAGTGGATGTTAGTTTTCTATTGTGGGGCTTCTAGCACCATTCATAGTTTTTAAATATTATTTGTCTATTGTTCCTATTATTAATATTTTATACTAAAATTAAAAATTCATTGAATAATTATTATTATTTTGCTAATGAAAATAAATAACTGTACTAAATATTTTTAGTTAAAAACATGTTTGTGACATTTAAAGACATATTTATTTATAATTATGGATTATTTTGTTAAATTAACTAATTTATTTAATTCTCGAGTTTGAGAGAATAATAAAAATTAGTATTGAACTATGTAAATAATTTAATTCCATCACAAATAATATTGTTAAGTTAACAACACACTAACTTTATGAAAAATTATAAGTAGTTTTAATATATTTTCATATGAAAAATAAATGTTCTAGTCTAAATTGACTTTTATAAATTATTTTTCTGTTTAACTAGTCAATCTATTGGCTGTGTTTTACTATTAATACTTACATTATTATAAACAACTTNATAAATGTTCTAGTCTAAATTGACTTTTATAAATTATTTTTCTGTTTAACTAGTCAATCTATTGGCTGTGTTTTACTATAAATACTTACATTATTATAAACAACTTGCAGTTATAATTTGGAATTAAAATGTACTTTACCATTTATTTAAATGTTGAACATCATTTTTTTTACTTTTTTTTGGTTATTATAAAATGATTTTTTTTGTTTTAAAAAAATTATTAGTAATTTATTTAAAACTTTATGATTATAACTCATTGATGTCTTTTTATTCTAGTTAAGTATATTTAAAATTAATTTTATTCCCATCCATTTACATAATTCCATTTTATATTTGATTTTATTTTTGCATATATATTTTTTGATTTGTGTATGTTTATAATAATGTGTATTACAAAAAAACATAATGTATTTAAAATAAAAATGTAGTATTTTTGGTATAGACATGGTTTTAATATATTTATATATTGCAAAACTTGTGGACTCAATGTNCATGGTTTTAATATATTTATATATTGCAAAACTTGTGGACTTAATGTTGAATAAATGAAAATAATATTTAAAAAATATATAATTTTTTTATTGTGATTTTCGGTTTGAAAGATGTCCAAGAAAAAATTTGAGATTTAATTATACAAACACTAGATGATTAGATATATTGATAATTAGAAGAACATTGTTGTCCTCTAAGGCATTTATCAAAATCATCTTATTGGTATATTGCTGTAAACAATGATATTATAAATCGATTGATTTAACTTAATATTGATATTATTTATGTTAATAGAGAGATTTATGATCTAACTAGGTGTATGGTAGAATAAACAAATATGTAATAAATATATATATTTGTTGGCTTTTTTGAAAATTTTGACTAGTACCGAATACAACAATTTGCTTTCTTTCAATCGATAAAATGGCTCAATAGTAAATAAACCATTCTATCAGTCATAAAATGTATACTTAAAGTAATTCGCATACATTTTACGTTTAAACAATATAGTTTATATTTGTTATGTATGTCATTTTTACATATATTTCAGTAAAACTGTAGTATACCTGAAACGTATAATAATTTTTAAAAATTATCGAATTTTATTATTTGGTACTTGCAAAAAGTATGATAATTACTTAAAATATTTAACCGAAGATGTAAATTGAATTAATTAACTATGCTTATAGATGACATACTAACAGTGCTCGAATTGGCCAAAAATAAGTAGGGGAGCTCAACTTAACAATTTGAAAACTGCGCCCTAGTATTTTGAAGACCTTTTTTTTTTTTTTTACTCATTACTTTATTTAGTATTTATTAATAAATCATATTTCATTATCNCTCATTACTTTATTTAGTATTTATTAATAAATCATATTTCATTATCATACTAATATTTAAAAAAAAAAAAAGAGGTGGTATTTTCCACCGTCCTCCCGTCCCAATAAAAAAAAGTAGTTGGGGTGCGCAAAAAAATTTTAAAAAAAGTAGACGAGCTACATCCCCCTGCGCACCCCCCAATTCGAGCACTGCATACTAACCATACATTTTTGGTACTTTATAAATTAAAACTAATATGTTTAAATCGCTCATAAATAAATAATTGTTGAAGACAAATGCACTGCATATTAATGTATTTCATAATAACATAACATTTTATAAATTTAGAACAGTAATTAATTAGAATTGTTATATTTTTTTAATTCCATTTAATATACTCAGAAATGATTATATTGATGGCAGTTAATTGTTCATTTAGTAAAACTAAGCTTTAAGTATAACAAGAATGAATGCTTAACAATAAATAGAACATTGAAAACAATACGAAAGTTATACAATATAAGCTTAATGTGTATTTATAATTACCTATCTTATTAACTTATCTAAATCGGTGATGAACCAAAGTTCAACGTTTTAAGCTTTAAGTACCACAATGGCATTATGCAACATAGGATCATTACGAGTAATGTATATCTTGAAAATATTTAGTGTGCTATTTTGAAAATGTACGTTAGATTTATAGATATGTATAAACGAATAGACTAGAACGAGTATAAATGATTCATGAAACTAACATAAATTTATATAAAAGAGGATTCGCCAAGGATATTTTAAAAAGTTTTATGTATAAATTTAAAATTGCTACATAGAATTAATGCAAAATAAGCAAGTCTTATACGAAAAATTCTTTTATAAAGTAACATATATTAACACGTAAAAGGTCAATCGTTCCTAGTCTATTCATTTATATGTATATAGTTAGATTACAACGAATTTAATTTTACTCTCAAGTAAACAAAATTTATCTAATTATCTTCAAATGGTTTTTGTGTATAATTATCTAAAATTACAATAATAATAATAACAACATCAAAAGAATACTATACAACCACAACAAAAGTAGAGGACCTTTTTAGATGAAGTAAAATTACATTGGCTAATCAATTACCAATAAACTAACCTACTGTATTAAAAAGGTACATAATGATATGTTATACACAAAGATATATATATATATATACGTTGTATGTATTTATAAATTTGTTTAAACAATAATAATTTGTATGTAATAATATATATATATATATATATACACGGTAAAAAATTATTAAGCCTAAGTACTGTGTGAGAAAATCGTCAACGTTAGACGAAAGAATTGGTCGGCTAAGATATAACTAGCGCAGTATAGTAAAAACACAGGTCTAGAGTAATTTTTCGGAAGAAAATAAATAAATTTTTTTCTTGTTATTAGTATTATGTGCGCGCACGTATTTGCTGGAAGCCCAACTTGTACCTATACTGAATGTTTACGAGTTATGTCTTGCAATGTTAAACAGCTTTATATTTTCATAAACATTTCAATAATTACAATTTATTGTTTTTTTTTAATAGCACAAAAAGAAATTCATAGCATGAAAACCACAAAAGTCAGCATAAGAATTCCTAGTGACAAAGTATATAATTTTGTCCCTCCGCTCATAGCAGTACAATTTATATCAGACTTCATACTCTCTGCGAAAAAGAAAGTAATCCATTATTATTTTAAATGAAAAACAAATTATAACATTTCAAAATTTACTTGAAATGGCTGTAATGTTAGGAACATAGTTTTTCCAAAAAGCGCACTGCTCTAAACGTGGTCCAACACCAGTAGATGTATTATTCGTATCTAATGTCAAAAATTCTTTTCCATAAGCTGTATGAATTGGCCACCTAGGTTTGACCCACTCACCGTCAATTGTCTTGCTTGGATTTCTGAAAAATCATACTAATATAAACTTAATATACTTCACAGTTAAAATACTTTCTACATAAATTTTTTTAGGATTTAAAATTTCTAAATACACTAAAATTGCACAATTTATTAAAAAATTTTCTGAAAATTCGACTAACCCTGTTTTGGCAAAATTCGTCCAATATCTCATCATTCTTTTACTGAGATCAATTTCTTCGGGTTCATAACTCTTTGATTTGTTTAGTGGGTCTCCAAATACATAGCTAATTTCATCACCATGCATTACGCCTGTCCATTTTGGCCAGGGGTTATTAAGAGAACGATGTTTAAAGTAATACATGTAAACGTTGTTGCCAGCTTTTGCATACAAGTGAGCAAACTCATTTACATTACATGTGAATTGGTAATCTCCAACCATTTTATCTAGAGCATTACGATTTTTTATTGGATCGTTCGGACTCAACCAGTCCGTATATTCAAACGCAATAGCAGCTCTAACTACTGGGTCTGCACGTGGGTTGATTTTCCCTAAAGCCTTTATGAAATCGTCACGAGATACTTCAACGTTTTCTTCTTTTTTAAAAAGTTCTGTCAAGTAGTAAATTATCCAATAGTAACCCTCCTCAGAGTTACTTCCCATCAGTATATTAGTTTTTTTGAAGTTATTGGTTGCCAACGATTTCTGTGGATAGTCGTCAATAAATGCACCGTCAACAACTGGAACAAACGGGAACTGGCAAATTTCCATTTGATCCCACTCTTTTTCTACTATTTCTGAACCATTCATCTGTCGTAAACAGTCTATAATTTTCCTAATGTTATTGCTATCATGAGGACAACCCATAGCTTTTGCGAGCCGTATTCCTCTTCTGAAACTTTCTTCTCTAGATAAAATAGCCCAGGGTGCTGTTGACGAACCAGATTCCATAATTGCTTGGTTAAATAAATTTCTGCTTAATGGCGATAGTAGATGGAGTGAAGCAGAAACGGCACCAGCTGATTCACCAAAAATTGTCACATTACTTGGATTACCTCCGAAAAATTTTATGTTATCATGTACCCATTGTAAGGCCATTAATTGATCAAAAAGTCCAGCATTTCCTGGTACATCCTCTGTATCAAAATATAGGAACCCTAAAGATGCTAGTCTGTACTGCATAGAAACCACAATAACATTTTCTTCTGATACCAATATTTTAGGATCGTAAATATCTAAAGTAGCAGACCCTGAATAAAATCCTCCTCCAAATATCCAAACCATTACAGCTGCATTTTGTGGTCTTGGTCTAGGTACAACCACGTTTAAATAGAGACAGTCTTCTGACACAGGAGAATTTGGATTCCACATTGTAGACCCTGGGAAATCACCAAAAACCCTGTCAAAAATTTGAACGCATGTATTTGGTGGTGTAGTGCAATTAAGAACAGTTTCAGGCTGCGTTTTGTCCCAACGATCTATCGGACGAGGATGTCTAAATCTAAGCTCCCCTAAAAAAATTAATATTTCATCAATAGTTATTTACAACAAAATAAAATGCTGATTTGCATTGCCTAGACGAGCTCTGCGTGGGCTTTAATTTTAAGGACCTGTCTAGCCCAATAATTCACAGAAATATGCTTGACTTGTGCGTTTCATTGATAAGTTTATAATCTTTCATCCATTACGGACCGGGCAATCACATTTTTNTATGCTTGACTTGTGCGTTTCATTGATAAGTTTATAATCTTTCATCCATTACGGACCGGGCAATCACATTTTTTATCATATATAATAAAAATAATAACAAAATACTTAAGAATAAACTGTAAATGCCATGATAATCGATAAGAAAATAGTTATAAGGTTTTATTATTAAAAATACAATTTACAATCATAACAAAATTTATTATAATTTTTAATATATTTTATCACATTAAAATACCCCGAAAATTTTTGATAAGAATTGTATGAGTACATTGTTAAACTTCTTATAAAAAATATTTTTGTATCAAGCTCTAATAGCTCGGTAATCTAAAGTTTGTATTTTTATCATTTTAGAATCTATTTCGATTTTGCGCGTTTATAAATAATACATAGAAATCAAGCGTGGCTTAGTAAATCGTTCATCAGATGCTTATTAACTTATAACTTGACCCATCTAAATTTTTATACTCACTCGGATCCAGCCCAGACAAATTTTTTTTAAGTAGGATCGACCCTAATAAGTAGAATAAATCATATATCCACTCAAGTCTGGTCCAACTATTTTTATTACAGACCCGAGCCGAATATCGGCTTATATATTACACAATAGTGTACTTCAGTAAAACTATCAAGGCATATGATTTTATCGATTATAATTTCTATTTGTCTAATATGAACCTTCTTAACGTAAAGAAATTCAGTGTCTTTGCATTTAAAAAGTTACCAAGTTCTCAATTTTTACCATAATATGCAAATAAAATATGTTTACTAACCTAAAGGTTTTTGTGCATATGGTATGCCAAGCCATGCATCAACTAATTTTCCGGTGGATGCGGCTTGTGTGATTCCTCTGATCTTGCCCTTTGTTGTTTGAACTATTAACGGATCATTGGTTTGAAATGAACTATAGCTATTTTCTGGTGAATTAAAACCATTATCATGGGTATTCTTAAATTCAGATCGACTAAATGCAAAAAGTCATGTTATTATGATTTTAGTTTAAAATAATTTAATAACTAAATACCTTTGTCTATGATTAACGTTTCGTTTTTCGGCATATTTCGGTTCTTGAGCAAACATATCTGATGCCCGTTGTCTAAAAACGCGATCCGGATCATGATTAATAATTTGAGGTTCTAATATATCTTCTGCTGTTGGTGTTCCCAAACTTTGATGTCTAGAGTGTCGTAATGCGAGTCCTTGGCATAACGCTACTAAGTAGCCCACCCATAGCAACCATTGGACCATTTCAAAGCCTAGAATTATATTGTAATAATTATTTATTTTTAAATATTTAATTAATAATTAAAAATACCCCTTTCAATTAATAAAATTAAATACATTTTTTTAGTCTGCATTATACTTGATTTAAACGTAAGAAATTATTAGACAACTGTAAAAAATATATATATATATATATTTAAATAACAAAAGTAGAGTGTTCAAAGTTAAAATAAGAAAATTATTATATTTTTGATAAAAAGAAAAATATGAATATAATAAAAGTTGATCACTTGTGCCTAATATCATTTAAAATTAAAAATATAATAAAAATATTAATTTCAAACTAAAAAAAAATATTAAACTCAAAAAGATAGAAAAAAATTACTAAAAAATTGCGGATACCTATTTCGGTAACAATGTTATAATTATCAAAGCTTAACAAATACAGATACTCCGAGAAAAATATGATTTGTTCGCTTACTTGAAATTATATATTTATTTGTTTTTTAACTACTTCAAAAAATAAATGCATTTATATACAAAAGTTGATGTAAAATGGTATAATTATATAGCATTATATTATTCATATATTATTATTTTCCTATTATGTTCTTTAAAGTAAATAATTAAATCAAAAATTAAATCAATGCACTTAGAGTAAATATATATTGTAATGAATTTGGAAGGGAAAAAATAATCAAAGTTAAGCTAAAACAACATAATAATATTAATTATTTTGAAATAACCCTATTTATTGAATACACTACATTTTAAATGCAAGTATAATTTGTATTTTTTGTACAAAACCATTGATACACAATCATTAAAAGAGAAAAAATGTGTTCAATTTCTTGTTTTTATGAATCAAATAAATTTAAACTAGGTAAAATGTCTATAAGAAAGAAAAAACAATTCAATTTTAATATTAATAATAGTAGAACAACTGTTATGTGCTTGCAATATTTCGTTATCACAGTTTAATAAAAAAACTTTTAGTTGATAACTATAAGAACTTGTTAGTTTATTTCAAAGACTTTTAAAACATGTGTCAACATTTTACACGTAATTTTTTTTTTAAATAAAACTCAAATTATCGACTAAGGATTTTTGTCATAATAATAAAAATTTGCTGATAACAAATACTTTCTAGGGAAACTACAAGAGCAATACAATAATTACGATCCAAGGGAATTCGTAATCGTTTATTAATCGTTTAATAAATGTATCTCGTATACTATATATTAGATCAGAAAAAATATTTTTACATTTAACAACTAATTTTCTGATATTAAAATGAATATTTTGTAACGAATTATACTATTATTTTGTTAAAAAATTTATTTTATTGTTGTTGGTTTGTTTATTTTATACAAACTAAAAAAATGTCATAAAAAATAATATCAAAGAATGGTAAATTTATTTGCTGTTTTAACAGACCTTAAAGTTTATGTATCCATAACAAACATCATCTTTCATTACTTATTTTAGCCTGTAAAACATGTGCGAAACAGCTTTAATACCACATAATTCTTTTGGAGAACCTATTAAATTGTCCTTATTGCTACCCATAAAATTTTCTACTACCACTATTTCTAGAGTTCTTTGGGGTATAGATTAGTGTAAGTACATACGATAAATTTAGCTATCAATATTGTAACCTCTTAAGTTTTCATATTAATATCAAAAATTTTATCGTACGGCTTAAGTAAATAAAAATTTTAAAATAATAAATAAAGAGTGCAAAATTGTTTTTTGTCTATAAAATTTGGTATTTATTTTAATTAAATTAAATTTAAATGATAAATATATGGGTTAATTAATGTATAAAAATTATTTAAAATTTTTTTATAAAAATATAAATAGAAATTCAGTACTAATTTCATCTAGGAAAAATACAGGAACATGAATATTTAGCAAACATCTTTAAATTTATACTATCAGACAAAAAATTTCCAACTAAAAAAAAGTGATTTGATTAAATTATTCAAAATAACACTGTATTAAACTTCTTTTAACAAATCAAAGATTGGGTTACTTCGATTACTTTCAACATAAATTTTAGAAATAACTGTTATAATAATAAAAATTTGACTGGTAAAAATAATTGTAACAGCTACATTAAACTTAAAAACCCAGCACAGGGGGGTCGCGGCATAGTTGGATCAAGTATAATGATATCTGACAGTGATTAAAATCACTATCATAAAAAACGCTTCGATGCAAATCTTTAGATAGTGTTTAATTTTAAAAAATTGGTGGATTATTCCAAAAGCTTCATAAACTGCTAGTTCCTTATTAATATCCTGATTAAGATAAAGTATGTCGAATGAAAAAGGGATTATTAAAAAATAGTATTTCCCATAAAAAAATTATATTGATCAATACACTTTTCAATAAGTTATAGCATTATAAAGTTAAAAATGTAAAAAATAAAATCGAGAATTTTCACACAATAATAGCATTTGGTAGCCATTTTCACCGTGAAGATAAAATAAAGTCCGAAATTTTTTTTTTCCATGATAAAGTATATTACATTAGCTTTAATTTAAGATATATATAAAAGTGTCAGACTTTCCGGAACACTTTCAAAATTCAAGTTGAAAAAGTCAATTTTTTGTGAAAAAGTTGTAATTTTGAATCCCCCCCTGTAATAAGGTAAAAAGTCAGATTTATAAAAAAAATATACCAAATGATAGGTAAAGACATCATGCATCTACAAAAAAAAGAATTATATTGATCCATACATCTTTCGAGAAGTTATAGCATTATAAAGTTAAAAATATAAAAAAGAATTTTTTTACAAAAATCGTATTTTTTTTATTAAGTTTAATGTCTGTTTTCACCATGAAGATAAAATAAAGTCCGAAATTTTTTTTTACCATTATAAAGTATATTACATTAGCTTTAATTTAAGATATATATAAAAGTGTCAGACTTTCCGGAACACTTTCAAAATTTAAGTTGAAAAAGTTCTACTTTCTACATGCATTTTTTAGATTTGCACCCCCCTCGTATATAGGGAAATGGTCCGATTTAAAAAAACAGTATGTCAAATGAAAGATGTATATAAATACTACTTTTCATGAAAAAATTGTACCGATCCATACATTTTTCAATAAGTTATAGCATAATAAAGTTAAAAATGTAAAATACAAAATCGAAAATGTTCGCACAAAAATACCATTCGGTAGCCATTTTCACCGTGAAGATAATTTAAAGTCCGAAATTTTTTTTTTGCATAATAAAGATTATTACATTAGCTTTAATTTAAGATATATATAAAAGTGTCAGACCTTCCGGAACATTTTCAAAATTTAAGTTGAAAAAGTAAATTTTTTGTGAAAAAGTTGTCATTTTAAATCCCCCCCTGTGGGCAAGTAAAGGGTCACATATAAAAAAAAAATATACCAAATGAAAGGTAATGATATCATACATCTATATAAAAAAAAATTATATTGATATATTCATTTTTGAAAAAGTTATAGTAATTTTAAGTAAAAAAAATTGAAAAAATTTCGAAAATTAGCGATTTTTCAATTTGTAATTTTTTTAGAGGTTTCCCCCATTTACGGGGAACGAGGGAATTTTTTTCAATTTTTAAGGGTAATGTCTTCGACTAGATAC